CAAATTTTAAAGTATGGACTCAAACGTTTGAGGTAATAGTTTGTAACTTGAGTGTCAAATGTAGTACTTATTGTTAAGTTCCCATAAAAAATGAAAATGATTGAGAAATAAAATTAGGCATTGTGACATACTCATGCACATAAGTAATTGGCGCTCATCATTCTTCTTGAACTTTCCATGATATTTGCAACAATATGTCAGATATATTATCGATGTTGGACATAGGGTGGCTGCCACATTGGACCCAAAGACTCAATCTAAAATGACACATATTTTTCCCTCATGACAACATGTGAGCATAAGTTTTTGAGGAAAAAAAAACCCAAGAATATGTATCTTCTCCTTCAACAATGACAAAAGCAACTGGAAGAATATTGTGATTACCATCTTGGACAATTGTCAATAACAAAACTTGCTTGTATTTTCCATACAAGATGTCCCATCAATTTGAACCACGAGCTTGTAGTATTTCATAACATTAATGCACAGTGGGTAAGTCCAAAAAAGCCGGTAGAATTAGCATCAATCGCGAAGCACTCGATCATTGTGATATGCATGGCAAGTTTGGAAGTCGACTATTGTCCTAGGTTTTAGTGTGCTCACTATCCTAAACAAACTTGGTAGTTTGTTGTAAGATTAATCACACTACCTGTGAAGTTTTTTTAATGACATTCTACTTTTCATTCCATGCTTTCCTGTAGGAGATGGTGTACCTATATTGAGACAGTATAGCTGAAATCAGCACCGCAATAGCTATATGGGAGCTTGCTTTGACCATGGGCATGATAGCTTAGTAGATAATGTCGGAGTCCATGTTGGGATGGCCTTGGTTGATCCCTCTAGCACAATATGTATGAGGACCTTTGTATATTGTCAGTTACCATATGTTGTTTTTCCTCTTCTACTTCGATACACGAACCATCCAGCTGCATCCGTTATCACGTTAGACACGGTAGTAAACATACTTTTTGGTGGTAGATTGGTCAACTCTAGACTGAACAAAATTACGAATGTTGTAATTCTTAATTACAATCGTCGTTTCTTCTTTGGATGGAAACTTCATTACGATATATAACTCACCATCATTGACTAATGAGTTAAATCCATAGTCACCAACATTAAGCATATCCGTAAATTATGACTCGTGCATTGGACCATAGTAAGCTTCATACATGTGTACTGGAGGTTTCATGTGTAACATATTTTTGGGAACTTCAACTACATCATCATCACCGAAGTTTATATTGAACTGCAGTGATTCTCGTTCAACGAATAGTCCAGTCTCAGCACCATCCGCACCTGGCTCACGAAGAGGTTCTTCTGGTGGAGATAAGGGTTCCTCTGTGACATTGATATTTAGGTCGAACAAGTTGGTAGTTGAATGCATTCCATTTGAACTTGAAGGCATTGTGTCATACGGGTTTCGAGATGAGTGTTGTGTTGTAAACATCTCCACATTGAGGTCGAAGAAGCTCACAGCTGAATGCCCCCTGAAACTTGAAGGCATCGTGTCAAATGAGTACTGAACAGATTGTTGTATCGAAAGCATCTTCATATTCAGGTCAAAGAAATTGGCAGATGAATGTCTTCCCTTTGAATTGGAAGTGATGTTGCCATACGGATTGTTCGTGGAGCCATCTTGGTGGAGATCATAACAAGTTGCTGATGAATGTCTCCCCATTGAACTTTATGGGATGGCACCAGGATGTGGATTTACCATGAGTTAAAATCATTACACATTACTTGAGTTGGGTTGTTAACTTGATCAGCTTGTTGAGTTAACCCATAGTGGGAGCATAATGACATACCACAAATCACAGACACTTCAACAAATGTGGCATACATTTGTGTATCAACGTCTGAATTTTGATTCAGCATCGATCATCATAACAACATCGTCATCGTTAGAGAGTTCAAACGTTGTATAAGTTAACGGAAATAGTGCAGTTGCAAATTTGTACTGAAGTGAGGAGAGTCTTCTACTACTTCCAACATGAACCTTCGTTGATATTTTAGTGATCAGCTCCTCAAGAGTGATATTTCTCTTGAAGTGACATAATGATTTGATGCGAAGACAACGCTGGTTTCATCATCCTGAATTTCTTTATCATAGTAAACAATAGCTGAAATACGTCTCATTTTGAGAGTTTGAAAGATTAAGAGTCGTATATATGAAAAAACAATAGGTGAAATACACTTAATTAAATAAATAATATACAAATTAAAATAAAAAATAATGTTAAAAATAAAAAATTTCACAAATAATTTAAATAACATAATTTAATATTGTTATTGTATCGACAAAGTATCTCAAGATATGATCCCGCTTTTCATTTTACAATCGCAAAAAATAATAGAAAATAATTAGTACAATAAAATTTATTCACATAATTAAATATAAATAAATATAATATAATAAAAAATAAGTGTACCTTCTAAAAACTATAACAAAATCTACTTAGTTTGATAGAAGAAATTGACAGAAGGAAGAATGTAAAGTAATTTTGATGTGGTTTGATGTTTGTATTCGTGGGTATTTATAGGGGAGGGGGACAGGTGAATAGCCGAGAGTTAAGGCTCGGATAATAATGGAATGTGAAATAATTCAAGGTGAATAATGGAAGACGCGCTTTATGATATGTGACTTCCTGTACGTGTCAGATTTTCCTTGTAAGGTGTATTTCATGATCCGCACCTTCCAACGTGTCGCCAGCTTGGACAGAACCTCGCAAAGGCACGCCTCATGATCCACACTTTTCCACTATGGTGTCATCTCCGACAGAATCCCGTAAAAGCACGCTTTATATCCTTGTTTTGTCAAAAAAATGTGTTAAATCGATAATATTTAGAGAATTTATGTCTGACGGGTAATACTTCGTTGTTAGGGGAAGTTCTGCTGTACGACGGTTAAAAAACGGCGTGACTGGTTAAACAAGTAATCGGTTAAAATGTAGACTGATTATGTTATATCATTCAACCGGAAATATTATCAAATACAATAACATATTAGGTAGCACTTATATAATGTAATAGGTAGCGCTTATATAATAAAATAAGTTAATTACTTAATTTGTTATTACAATATATTAGGTAAACGCCTAAAATGTTACCAAGGATAACATAATCGGTTAATTATTGGAAACATTATCAAGCACAATAACATATTAGGTAGCGCTTATATAACGTAATAGGTAACACTTTTATAATAAAATAGGTTAATTATTTAATTTGTTATTACAACATATTAGGTAAACGCCTAAAATGTTACCAATGATAACATAACCGATTAATTACTGGAAACATTATCAAACATAATAACATATTAGGTAACGCTTATGTAACAAAATAGGTAATTACTTACTTAATTTGTTATCAGTTATGATAAACTTACCTTAGGAATAAATGTTAACAAAATTTAAACTACCTATTACATTAAAATACCTACCGGATTTTTTTAAGGTTGTTAATAATGTAAATGGTAAAAAAAATAGGCGCTACATATTACATTAAAATATCTACCGGTTTTTTTGAATGTTGCTAATAATGTAAACGGTAAAAAAAATAGTGCTACCTATTACATTAAAATATCTACCATTTTTTTAAGGTTGCTAATAATGTAAACGATAAAAAAAAATATATGCTACCTATTACATTAAACTACCTACCAGATATGTTGAAAGTATCGATTCTATTTAAATAAGTATCGACACTTTTGGAATTTAAAAGAAAAGCAGTAATAACGCCTATAAAATATCGATACTTTATAAAAATGTATCGATACTTTACAATATAACAAGTAAAAATATGAAAAAAAAACCAGTTTCATTATGACAAAACTGATAAATATCTACTTGATATGTTGAAAGTATCAATACTTTATAAAAATGTATCGATACTTTATAATATAACATGTAAAAATATGACAAAACCAGTTTCATTATGACAAAACCGGTAAAGAGCTACCTGATATGTTGAAAGTATCGATACTTTACAATATAACAGGTAAAAATATGACAAAACCAGTTTCATTATGACAAAACCGGTAAAGAGCTACATGATATGTTGAAAGTATCGATACTTTTTATAAAAATATATCGATACTTTACAATATAACAAGTAAAAATATGACAAAACCAGTTTCATTATGACAAAATCGATAAAGAGCTACCTGATATGTTGAAAGTATAAATACTTTTTGTACATATATCGATACTTTGTTGAAAGTTTTGTAATTTATGTTTCAAAAATTTTTAATAGTGCTTCATGTTTTCCACCTACAATATTAATTTAATAATTTCGTTTATACAAAAAATTATTTGATTAGTTAGATATTTTATAAAATATTATTTAAAATTTAAATTTAATAATTTTAACAAAAGATAATAATAAATATGTAATATCTATGTTTATTATTTTTAATTTAATAATAATATATATCCTAACATAAAAATAAATCATTAGACGTGTATAATTACTAAATTAAATCTTAAAACTCACTTAAAAGATAACTTTAAATTAATATTTTCCATATTGAAATAAATATGGACACTTATATATATGTATCGATACTTACCGATAACCAAAGTTTACCGGTTATCAAATTTTTTAATAATTTTTTATGTTTTATACTTAAAACATTATTAATCTGTCAACATAATAGATAACGCTAAATCAAATTTATTAAATATCTTTTAATGTATCTGATAATATTATATATTAATAATATATTAGTATGACTTTCGTGAGACAAATTGTTAAATATATTTCGTTGACAGGTAACATATGTACTTACAGAATAGAAAACAAAAGGCTTGGGTGATTGATTAGACTGAATCAATCCTAGAAATTCGAACTTTAGAGTTTTATCTCAATCTAATGGGTATCGATAATAAAATAGTATTAGAGTTTAATTTTTTATTCTTCCAACCAAATTTCATTTTAAAGGTTAAAAACCATACCACGAGCACTGTACAGCCGAGTTACTCCATTCTCATTTTAGCACTGTACAACCATACCATAAGTAGTCGTTTTTACTTTCTCTTTTCAAAGGTGAAAAAAGAAACAGTAATAAACAATGTTCTTTTTTTTTGAGCGGTTAAAATTTACTGAAAAAGTAAATTTATTTTTCAGGATTTAAACATCGAAGAACAATAGACAGAGATTCTTCTCGGCGAAACCTCAACTGTTTGGCGATAAAATCTTCGATCGTTCGTTGAAACTCTTCGTTGTTCAGCTCGTCTTCTGGAAATAATTCCTCGTCCGTGTTTTCTATTTTGTGGCACTGTTCTGTCTCCGATCGTCGCAGTTCCTTCTTCACTTGCTCTTCAGTTTTTCTAATCGGCAACTTCTCCGACTTACTCCTTCTATACACTCTGGGATTATCCGTCTCAGTATCGGAATCCGACTCAGACTCCGGCTCCATTTCTTCACATGTGAGAGTAGCTGTGTTCGGTTCAGAGATGATCTCCTTGTCTTGATACACAATCTCTTCTTGAGACTCCGATTTGGAGCGATTCTCAGCGATTTTGGTGATTTCGTCGTAGATTTTGGAATCGGCATTGATAACGGCGGATAAAATACCGGACTTAGCAATGAGAGTGACGATGATGACGTTACAGACGAGGAAAACGAAGAGAGGACGGGCGACTACTCCTCCGAGCTTCAAAATGAACTCGCCGGAGATCTTGACGAGGAAAGGCACGCGCCCGAAGGTCCACGCCAAAAACAGCAAAGCCAAGAGCAATTCCAAGAAACGAAACGCGTTCGCCAAGCTTCGAAGCCGATTGTACCTTCTCATCGCCTTGGCTTTCTCTGCTTTCACGTTATCGAGAACAAACGAATCCATCAAGCCAAAAAGTTTTCAAGGCATTCAAAGCTGATGTACCGAAAGAAATTCGAAAAGTTTAAGCTCACTTTGGTTCTCTGGAAACGGATGTCTTAATTTTTCCGGGAACATAAAAGGAGAATTTGAAAGCTGCGGGGAGATGTACAGTAAGAGCAGCCAGGTATTATTTTCGGAGAACCGAACCATCCTAAGGAAATGCTTATATAGACCGACAGTCATGTAATTTAGGAATTATTTCTATTTATTTATTAATAAATATTAGCAATAGCTAAAAAAATCTTAAGCAAAACCCAAAGGTTAAGGCATGCGTGAAGTAGAACATATATAGAAATATCATGCCCATAAAGTACATCACACGTGGACATCTATTTAGATAATCCGAAAAATACATGAAAATAAATATATATCAAAACTCAATTTTAATTATTAAAATTTATACAAGTTATTTTTTTTAATTAATCACTGGTATCCGATCTATTAATCGATTAATCCAGATCGGGTACTGCATAGGCGAGGGCGACCATTTCAACTTAATTTACTCCATTCACAAACACCAAAATTCAAACCTCTGACATCACTTAAGAGACTTAATACATCATCCTAACAGATCAATCGATTGAGTTGAACATTATAGTTGAGTTCCTTCTTCAGTTTTTATATATTTCCTTGCTCGGCCCAACCACAACATGACATTTATCACATTTCGATGAAGTGAAAAACACCATGCATAAATGACGTTTTCTCCTTGAATTCTGAAGCAAAAACACGACGCATCGAATGCGTTAAGGTCCCATCGCAAGTTGTCCAACATTGAAATGCCATACATTTAATAACTCGAAATATATTTTCCGGTTTAAATTAGGAGAGCAAAATTCGATTTAATTTAAAAAATTGATTTTTTGATTTAATTTGACGTGAAAAAATTTGATTTGAATTGATTTTGAGTTATAATTTTATAAACTTGATCCGATTAAAAAAAGTCAAGTTCGAATCGAGTTGTAAAATACAACTCGAATAACTTGAAATTTTTAGTAATTAGTGGATTTATTTTCAAGTTCGAGCCGAGTACTTCGACTTTATATAATATATATATATATGAAGAAATATATTTGCGTTGTATATATGACTATAGAAAATCTCTTAAATTAAAATCAAATAATATTACAATATAACAAATATTTATAATTAAATTTAAATAAAAATTTTAAAAAAATCAACTCGACTTCAATTTCAAATTGTAAAACATCAACTTAAATAATTTAAAGTTTTTTAACTATACTGGATATAACTCTTACCTCTAATTTAAACATCAAAATATATTCGGATATTGCAGCTTTCCCCGTTCCTAAAACCTAATTCGGTTAGAATGACAGGTCTTGTAGCATCTCTGTTTGCAATCACGTGTGCCTGGAAAATCTCATCACTGTCACCATAAAATTTCTTCCACCCACTTAATAGTTATCATCCTTTGCTCGCTGTATAGATCAACGTAATTAATAACTTCACCAATTTTTTCTTCAAAAAAAAAAAAAAAGGTTGGGATTGTCAGACAGGTCATAATGTATGACCTTATTTATTGAACTTTATTCACCTTGATTTCCCTCCTTGTGTTCTGCTTCATTTATTAATTTATTGTATATCGGTTTCCCATGATGATTTTATGTGCATTTTTATGATAGCAGCTTCTTTCCCTTCTGTTCTCGTCATTGATTTGGCCTCTCCTTTAAACTACAAGTCGAAGGACTTTCCATTCCAAAAAGAGGATTTAATTAGGGTAAACTACAAGATTGGTAACTAAACTTTATTTTCACTCTTATTTCATTTATCATACTTTCAATTTTTTTTAATTTATTCATTAAACTTTATATATTGTATTTTTTATTTGTCTGCCGTTAAATAATTAACAACTTGACAATATGATAATATTTTAATTAAAACGACGTCGTTTTAGTCTAAAATTTAATCTTTTTAGGAATTCAAGATACGCCATTTGATGTAAGCTACCATGTCATAACATCGTTTAATTATTTAATGGCGGAATGACAAAAAAATTAATCTATAAAGTTCAATAAGTAAATTGGAAAAATTGAAAGTATAGTAAGTGAATATGAGAGAGAGTAAAGTCCAGTTACCAAATATGAAATTTACCCATTTAATTATACATTTGCACTTTTTTGTATTTAAAAAACAAGCTTGTAGATGGACTTCATCAAACTTAATAACTATGATATCAATTATCGTACATTTCGGGTTCAGATAATATATAAATTTAGCAAGAATAGAGGATCAAAATGAGATTTGGAAAAAGAAACGAGCAAAAGCAACAATATTTACGAATGAAATACCCCAAGTGTTTATTATATTATATATCCGACACTGAATTCTGCTAGGTGAATTTTAAACTGGTCTGTGTGTACGTACAGTAGATTGAAAACCAAAGGAGGGAAAGACTAAAATTTGCCAGAGACCTTTCATTTCAAACATATAAATATTTTATTTGGTCCCTCATTTAATATGATTTTGATCTGAAAGTCACGCATGATAGTGTTATCCCATTCAAGCCGAAAATAAATAGGGAAAATCACTAGTAGTTTTAGCATTTCTTCATCTGACATTTTTGTGTCTAGGTAAACGAATATAAAATTTTATGTTAGGAAGGTAAATTTATAGAATTTTATAGAAATATAAACTTGCAAAATTTTAAGAGAAAAAAATGATTTTCAACAAAAAATATTAAAAATATATAAGTATTTAAAATTTTTAGAGCGACAACCATACCTATCCGCTCCTTGATCCATCCCCGTGCTTAGGGGCTTTGCTGGTGCGTGATTGACATGTGGACCAAACTCACCTAAAGATTCAGCTGCATTTCTTACAAATATTAGCACATGGTAATGCAATGTTGATAAAAATATCTGTGTGAAATGAATGGTGACAGTGAAGTGAAGTTTACAAGGTCTAGGCCATCCAACCCTACAGATCTAACTGCAATTTGTCAACGAAGCTAATGGGAGGAAAAGCTTCATTATTGAGCATCATCGAATACCCCACAAGGATCATTTCCTGCTTCATTATTGAACAAGACATTGTACTTGATCCTACACCATTTTAATAAATAAATTAGTTAAATGTCTGAATTATTCCAAATTGCATGCAAAATTGTTTTTTAAATTTGTAATGTATATATATATATAAGAAACAACAACAATTCTTTTATCATCGTCCCTGAGATCGCTTGGTTCTTGCCATCTATATGTATTCTAATATATGGTAGCAGACCTTTTCTTCTTTCTTTCTTTTTTTAAAAAAAAGGAAAAAATATATTATGTTTGATGAGCTCTCCATGTATCTCACATGCTCTGCACCTTGAATTTATTCCGTGTTTCCAATGCCCCAGGTATGTTACTCGGATTTTCAAACCAGGTGTGCTCCATAAAATATCTAGATTATCCCAAAAGAACGAGGAGATAAGGAAGATCGATCGAAAAGGGTTGAAGAGATGGATTCAATGGTGGAAATTGGTTTCCATGGAATCTGCCCTCGGTTAAAAGTTGAATGATTCTTTGCTTCAATTCTCAGGAAATCCATGATTTTTCATGATGATGATGATGTTCTCTATAAATTATTTTTCAGGGTAAAATATACTACAAAACATTCAATTATGTGTTTAGTATCAAATGAGTCGCTTCATTTTAGTTACAAACATATCATTCAGTTAAATTATTTCGAATTAAATTGAAATTGATAAATTATATAGATTTTGAGTGCTTAAATTATGATTATATTATACAACATCACTATTTTTTAATATTTAATGGTTAATGATTATATTATACTTAAAAAAACGACGACCTAGTTATTACCAACTACATAATTGAGTGGCCTGAGATGTATTTCAACCTTTCTTTTAAGAATATAATGCGGGAGACTGTCTGACCTGTAATGCAATGAAGAGAATATTAGTAAAGGCTAGTGGAGGCAGGCTTCACTTTCGTTATTAAAGTTTTCAAGAACTCTTTGGTAACATGGATTATGTAGACTCAAACTTGTTCTACCTAAAGGAAAAACAGAGACGAAAATGACTCTAAAAAAAGTTTTGGATTCTTTGCACGTAGTTTGGTTCCGCTAACATCGGCATCGTTGGTCGGACTCTCAACGGAAATGTAATCCACACCCTTGGTTAAGAGTTAGGGCCGAGGGGACCGTCGGATGGGGTTATAATTTTATAAATCGAAATACCTTTTATCTAGTAAAAGGGATAAGATTATGAAAACAACGTTTGGGGCTGAATGACCCAAGTTTATACGGTTTAAACACTGAAGAGCTTGAGGTTCTTTTCATGGATTCCTTTTGTTTTTATTCTTTGTTTTGTTAATTGGGGCAGAGCCGAAAAGCATAAATTCGTTGTTCTTGCACATTATCAGACAAAGTGGTGCCATTGAAGCGTTCCAAGGTTGCAAATTTGATGCCCAATATGGTGTTGTATACAGTGGATATTAGTCCATGGGTCATGACCATTTACATGTTTCAGCCCTGATCAAAGTGGTTAGCCCATGTTCTATATGAAATCGGAAAATGAGGCCTCTTTGTCGCCTCCTTTTCACGTATGGGCCTATTTACAGGTCTAATAGAGACCCACTTTTGCATGTAATGGTCAATAAAGGGATATTATTAAGTATATCGTTATTGAAAATAAAAAAAAATTACAACTATAATGTAATGACGTGTGTAATTTAAAAATTTTAAAACTAAATAAATAGTTACGTTAAACTTTCCTTAATTTATTGGGATTTGATATTAAATCTCTTAATTATAACATCTACGTCCAATTAATAAGGCTGGAAAGAGTGCTGATGGTGGTGACTTAACAACCATGCAAATGAATTTTAATTTTTATATTTCAAACCTAGTAAATGGTGCTGATTTGCAAGAGATATCAATGGTATTAAATTAATCGGCAGGCTTAGTTTGTTTTTCGTGAGATAATATTTTTTTTTATAAATTTTAATCTAATTTTAATCTTATCTATATAGAAAAGAGGAAGAAAAGATTGTAAAAGGAAGGAGATTATTCGTAGTGACTTTAAGACTTGTGATTTAAGGTAATACGATGAAATAAATATGAACAATTTGACTAACCGACTAAACTTAT